ATCGCTCAGCCTGGGATCTCCATGTGCAGGGACTCTTGTCCCTGACAGGAGGGATGCAGCCTGTGGCGGTGGCAGGGCGGTTGTGGGGCGAGGTGGGAGCGTGGCCAGGTGAGCAGCTCTGTCTGGATCGATAGAGAGATCACGCCGGAGCAGCGCAGCCTCCAAATTAGTTCAGCTAAAACAATTAAATGACACTTCCTTGGTTTTATTACTTTCCTTTTTTTTAAAACTGACAAATGTGCCAAAACTTAAGCACAGAGGCTGCTAAAGTATAAAATGTGGAATTGATTTTCCTCCTTGCAGCTGGAGCAATTAAATGTGGAGCAGGTCTAACCCACAGCAGGATAAGCTCCTGTTGCTCTGCCAAGAGCTGGGGAGCAGGGTCCTGCCAGCGGCCAGGAGGGACAGATGGGCTGGGGGCAGCGGATGTGGGGGCCAGGAGGGATTGCAGGGGCTGCCTGCCAGGACCCCAGAGAGGGGGGCTGTGCCTGGCCTGGCTGGGCTGGGGGAGAGCAGGTGCTGCCGTGGTGGAGGGTGGTGTCTGCAGGCTGCTCGGAGCACAGAGCCCTTGGAAAGGCCAAGGCAAAGGCATTCCCTGATGTGAGTAGAGACTTTGCCTGCAGGAGCCTCTGGCTCAGCTGTGTCTTTCCCTCCTGCCCCAGTGGGGACCCAGGTGGAGAGACCAAGGTGGTCTCTGGTGCAGTTGCAAGTAGCATGAGAACTGAGGCCCTTTGGTGCTCCAGAAACGTTGGTTACCATTTTCTCGTGTTTTCCCCTGCCCTGGCATTTGTCTGACGCAGGGGTGGCAGAGCTAGCACGAGGGGACACCTCCTGATGTGCCCGTCCTTGCCTCTCCAAATGTCATGCTTGTTCCCAGCTGCTGTCGTGGTGCTGCCATGGCCCAGAGCAGCCCCAGCTCCCCTGTGCAGGGGGATGAGCACGGGGCAGAGCAGAGCCCTGGGCTCCCCCGTGTGGGACCACTGCCCAGGAGCTGCCCACTCACTGGCTCCAGACCCCGAGCCCCCGTGCTGCTCCAGTTCCCATCAGTGTCTAATCCACCTCATCAGCTACAGATGCACTACAGGAAAGATATTTTTAGCAAGGTCTGTTTTAAGACAGCTGAAACCAAACAGCAGCTACTGGGGAATATCGATTCATTACCAATCCTGCACTAAATGTTCAATATTGAGCTTTTTCCTGCTGCAAGTAGCGTGGGCCAATAACCTTCAATATTTTCCAGAACACGGGGAAGGTGGTGTGATTTAAATTGTTGTTAACTTTGAGTAGCGCCTCTAAGTGCAGCATCTCGGGGTGCAGTTTTCCTCCTTGGGATTCCTGAGTGATCCTGTGCGATGCTCCAGGGTTATTTTCACAGAGAGGGGCTTTTCCTCGTGGCTGCAGCAGCAGGCTGAGCCTGGCTGCCACCCGTGCTCTGGCTGCCACAGCCGAGCCCGGAGGCGGCGTTGGCACAGGGCAGAGCCCGTCTGCTTCTGCTGGGAGCCACCTGCCTGAGTCCCCTGCTCCCAGGGCTGGCACTTGGGCCAGGCTTGGCTTCCCCACGTGCTGCTGTGACAGGTCCCTGGAGCACTGGCACTGTGGCCTTCTGCCCCCCGTCCCTGCCCTGCGCTGCTTTTGGGTGGCCCGGGGGCTGCAGCAGCACAGGGAGGGAGCCCGGCCAGGGGGAGCATGGCTGTGTCCCCTCTGTGTCCCCTCTGTGTCCCCAGTGTCCCTGCTGTGTCCCCAGTGTCCCCAATGTCCCCAATGTCCCCAATGTCCCCAGTGTCCCCAGTGTCCCCAATGTCCCCAGTGTCCCCAGTGTCCCCAGTGTCCCGTGCCAGGAAAGGAGCGGGCAGAGCGGCTGCAGACGCTAATTGCTCCGTGCTAATGGCCGGGCTGGCGCACACACAAATGGGAGCCCATTAGGCTTCGCCCTGCCACATGTTTGTGGGCTTTACTGACGGTGCATTTGCGTGAAGTTAATTGGGGAGAAGAGAGGAAGGCGGCAGCTTCAAGGATGCTTTGAAATTTCCTTGAATTTCCTTGCCTTGGCTCTGGGGAATGGGCAGGAACCCAGAGTCTGCTGGGTGAGGTGGTGGCCAGGCTGTGCCCGTGGACAGCAGCCCTGCTGTCCTGCCCCTGGCGTGGGCCAGCTGCTGCCAACACCCTCCCTTGGGCCAGCAGAGCTTGGCTCTGAGGAGCTGGGAGAGGCTGGAGATGAGCTCATGTGCCCAGCCTTCGGCGTTAAAGGTGTGTATTCTGGCTCTGCTCGTCACCTTGTTTGCAAATGCTGCAGTTTGCTCTCACCTTTGCTTTGGAAGCACCAAACTCAGCTGGTGACCTGGCACAGCTTGGCTTGGCTGCCCTGTCAGGCTGGCTAGAAAAGGACACAGGTCCTGGTGACCCTGGGTGTCCGTGGTGGGGCCAGGCCCTGGCCACGGCGTGTGTGCCCTGTGTAGCTGGGGCCAGGGAGCAAGGGCCAGAGCTGGCCACAGGGCCTCTGAGTGACGGGCAGTGTCCAGGACCATGGCTGGCTTGGTGGGGTTTGTGCTTGGCTGTAATGTGCATTTGCCATTTGCACTCAGCTGCTGCAGGGAGGTCACCAAGTGGCCACGGTGGCTCTGACACAGGCTCTGACACAGGCTCCCACTGACTGGGAGCTGCTGCAGCTGCTGGGGCACCTGCGGCGGTTTTAAAAACGAGTATTCTGTTTTGAAGTTTCACCTGTGGAAGGAGTTGCCTTGGAAATGGGAAAGGGGGAGACTCCAGCCTGTGCCCATGGGCAGAGAGCAGCAGCCAGCAGGGCTGAGAGCTGGGCTCTGTGCTGGCTGTGCAGGGAGCCCTTGGCTCCTGCTCCTTCCCAGCCCCCCTGGCCTCAGAGCTGACCTTGGCCTTTGCCAGACCCTCCATCAGTGCTGAGCGATTATTAAGGAAGGTGAGAGTCACACACAGGTGTGTGTCTGTGAAGGGCAATGGCAGTGTGCCCTTTGGAAAAGAATCTCTTGATTTAAAGGACACTGCAAATCTCTGGAGCATTTAAATGATTAAAAATGAATCAGCAACAAAGTTAATTACTGTGTTCGCTCTGCTTTTATGCATGGAAATGTCCCTCATTAGCTGTCTTCAAGCACTGGTGTAAATTCTTTGAACATAAACATTTATTAAAGGGAGTTGCTCCACCATTAAATCCTGGCTGCTGTAGTGTGGGCTGGAGGCAGCGGGGCCGTGGGGCTGTCCCTGGGGCTGGGGCTGTGGCCAGTGTGTCCTGCCCGCTGTGCCACGCTGGTGCCAGCCTGCAGTGCTGCCAGCGAGGGGCTCGCAGCTGCTGGGGGTCCCTGGCTGCCCGCAGCCCCTCGCAGCCCTTGGCCAGGGCATCGCTGTGTCCTCCGGGACCCGTGGTGGCTCTCAGCCAGATTTTTGTTTTCCTCACACCTCGGTTTCTCACAAGTTCAACCAGTATTGCTTAACCTGCTGCCCCCTGTCCTGCTGGGCAGAGGTGCCAGGCAGAGGCTGCTGCTGCTGCCAGCTGTGTGTGCACCTGTGGCACGGCACGGCACAGAACGGCACAGAACGGCACAGAACGGCACAGAACAGCACAGAATGGCACAGAACAGAACCACACAGCACAGAATGGCACAGAACAGCACAGAACGGCACAGAACAGCACAGAACGGCACAGAACAGCACAGAACAGAACAGAACCACACAGCACAGAATGGCACAGAACAGCACAGCACAGAACAGCAGAGCACAGAACAGCCCAGCTCAGCACAGAACAGCCCAGCTCAGCACAGCCCAGCACAGAACAGAACAGAATTGCACAGCTCAGCCCCGCTGGCAGCACCGCTGACTCCTGTGCTTCCTAGCCCAGCACATCAAGCTGCAGCTGGACACAGCCCACCGTTCTCTGCCGGTGACATCAGCTGCGAGGGGCAGCTCAGAGCCCTCACACAGGAGCTGGCCCTTGGGATTTTTTGCCAAATGAAGCAGTTTGTTTTTATGCTGCTGAGCAGATGGAGCCCAGGATGGCACACGCCAACCTCTGCACACAGGGTTGTGCAGGCAGGGGCTGACCCAGAGCTGGGATTATCGGTGGGCACTGCCCTCCCCACTCTTATCTGCAATATCTCAATTGTTTGATGAGGTTTTGTACAAATTCCTCCCTGGGAGAGTGTTTCACGCGTGTTCGACATCAAAGCAGCACAGCCAGTGAGGGAGCACATGTTTCTTTAATGTGGGAGTGTTGTAGGGGCCGCAGGGTGCCCAAAGGCAGATTATAACAAAATTAATAATTCAGGGCTTGGAAAGGTGCTGGTGAGGAGTTAACCCCTTCAGGGCGAGTGGCTGCCTTCATGCTGCCACAGCCAGGTCAGGCTCTGCATTGCTGCTGCCCAGCATCTCTGGGGTGCTGGGCTTGTGGGGGCTGTGCTGGCTGCCAGGGACTGCAGGGCACAGCAGGGCACAGCTGGGCACAGCAGGGCATGGCAGGGCACAGCAGGGCACAGCAGGGCATGGCTGGGCACGGCAGGGCACGGCAGGGCACAGTTGGGCACAGCAGGGCATGGCAGGGCACGGCAGGGCACAGCTGGGCACAGCAGGGCACAGCAGGGCACAGCAGGGCACAGCAGGGCACGGCAGGGCAGAGCAGGGCACAGCAGGGCACAGCAGGGCACAGCAGGGTACAGCTGGGCACGGCAGGGAACCGCAGGGCACAGCAGGGCACAGCAGGGCACGGCAGGGCACAGCTGGGCACAGCAGCTCCCCTGGGCTGTACCCACAGTGTCCCCATGTCACTAACATGGGCCTCTAAACCTGGGCTGAAGGGACTCTTCGTGCCCATACCAATGGCACTAAAGGCCTTTAAGAATCGGGCAGCTCTAGTGCAAGTAATCTCTAATTCAGGAGGAATTAATGCTGTCCCTGCAGCCAGAGCCATCCTCCCCCCGCCGGTGTCGCTCGTACATCACTGTCCCCGTGCTGGCAGCAGCTGGCTCAGCAGTGCCAGCAGCCAGTGCCAAGGCCAGCTGGGGACATCACTGGAGCCAGGGGACATGTCCAGAGAGCAGCAGGAGCAGCTCCTGGTGGAGCCCTGGCCACGCAGCTGTGGCGCTGGGGGCCAGCACCAAGAACCTTCACACCTACACATGCAAGGGGCCTTAAAGCCGTGTGACATGCTATTTGTATGCAAATAACCCTGTGAATGCAGAAGTCCAAAAATATTACTTTAAAGTCTGGTGTAATTAAGTTTGCCATGCATTTCCCTGCTCCTGCAGCCCTGGGGATCCTGCTGTTAGCGGGAAAATGAATGCCTGGGTGACATCTCTCCCCCTTGCATGGCTTCACTGGTGATTTATTTATCTGCCCGTGCTGTGTTTTGTTGTCTCAGCAGTCTCTGCTGCTCAGGAGCGGCAAACACTGGGAGTCCATTTAAAAAAACAACTCTTGTCTCATTTCAGTAATTTACTATGCAGAGGTTTTGTGTTTTACATAATGGATTAGAACCTGTAATTTTGTATTTTGAATGCATGGACCTAATAACTCAAGTAATGAAAGTCTAACAGGCTTGAGGATGAGCCATTAATGAAACAGCAGTTTTATGATTCTCCACAATATATTGCAATAGTGGATCACTTACAGAGCTGTCCTGTGCTGATTTATGATGAAACTTGTTTGTGATGTGGAGATAGAGCCATGTGCCTGCTCTGAATTAGCGCTTCCTGGCCATCATTAACCAATGGGAATCGTAATTGGTATTTGTGGAGTTTGAAGCTGAGCACTGGGAAAGGCCAATTAAGCACCATCCATGCTCAGGTACCTCAGTGAACCAGCCCTGCTAATTTATGCTGACTAATTATTAAAAATTAGCTTGTTTTCTCTCAAGTTAGGAAGCTGGTGAAGAGGGTGTGTGGGATGGTGCCCTCGGCGTGTGCCACCACTCCCCATCATGTCCTGGGCTCTTCCACCTCTGTCCTCTTGTCACACAGGGTGGTGTGGGCTGCTCTTGGATCTCCTCCCAGTTTCATCAGCCCAACACCTCTGGCTGTGGGCTGTGTTTCAGGGGTGCCAGAGGTGCCAGGCCCTGGTCCCTTAACCACCCTCACTCGGTGCCTTGTGCTCTGCAGTGGGACGGGATGCTGTCACAAATCCTGCAGCCAGGGATGGTGTTTGCTTTCCCTGGCTGCTGCTGGCCTCAAAGCCACAAAGCCACTGCCTGGGGATGTGCCTTGTGGGGCCACAGGGAGCTCCACAAGCCGAATTCGGGCTGTGCCTGCTCACAGCGCAGCAGCTGCTGGTGCCACAGGGTGCTGCAGGGCAGTGGATGCAGCAGAAGGGTGCTGGCCTCATCCTGGCCACCACAACTCCCTGTCCACTCCAGCCTGGCATTCCCTGCCTGCTCCCCACCTGCTCCCTGCCGGGAGCCAGGGGACCTCCAGTGCCGTGAATCTGACAGCAGTGGATTTGATAGTTTACTCTAGTAACACAAGACCAATTTATAAATCTTTCCATCCCATTAGTTTTTATTTGATTTGGATGTTCAGATGTCAAAGCAAATGATTTAATTAGTGCTAAGCTGGGCTGCAGGGATGCTGCATTTCCCCCAGGCTGGTGCTCCTCGCCTGGCCTGCAGCCCAGCTCCCAGTGCCAGAAGCAGATGGGTTCACCCAGGAGCCCATGTGGAGCTCTTGGGCCTGGTCAGGCCCTGGGGGGGTGGCTGATGCCCTGCTGGGCACAAGCCCCACAGCCCCCTGGGGCCTGTCCATTGCTCCCCAAGGCTCCCTGTGTGGCACAGCCATCACATCCTGCATCCTGGCACTGGATAACACTCGTTACTGTGTGTGGGGCTGCCCGTGCCCCCGTCCTCTGCCCAGGCTCCCTGGGACTGGGATGGACCTGGAAGTCGTCCATGGCCAAGGTCCTCCACAGTGCTGCAGGAGGGATCTGTGCCTGCTTTGTCCCACTGGGAGGGGACATGTCCCCAGCCCCACGGCACAGCCACCACCTCCTGCCGCCTGTCCCGGCTCCTTCCTTACCATCACCTTCTGCTTCGCTTGCAGGAGCCTGATGCCACGAACCCTTGACAGCCAGATCACAGTGGAGAAGACCCCCAGCTACTTTGTCACCAAAGAGGCCCCACGAAGGATCTTCAACATGTCCCGGGACACGAAGCTGATCGTGGTGGTGCGGAACCCGGTCACCCGCGCCATCTCGGACTACACGCAGACGCTCTCCAAGAAGCCGGACATCCCCACCTTCGAGGGGCTGACCTTCCGCAACCGCAGCCTGGGGCTGGTGGACACCTCCTGGAACGCCATCCGCATCGGGATGTACGCCGTGCACCTGCAGAGCTGGCTCCAGTACTTCCCTCTCTCGCAGATTCACTTTGTCAGCGGCGAGAAGCTGATCACGGACCCAGCAGGGGAGATGGCCAAAGTGCAGGATTTCCTGGGCATCAGACGGGTCATCACAGACAAGCACTTCTACTTCAACAAGACAAAAGGCTTTCCCTGCCTGAAGAAGTCAGAGAGCAGCGGCTTGCCTCGCTGCCTTGGCAAGTCCAAGGGCAGGACTCACGTGCAGATAGACCCCGAGGTGATCGAGCAGCTTCGGGACTTTTATAGACCTTATAATATCAAATTCTATGAAACAGTCGGGCAGGACTTCAGGTGGGAGTAAGTGTCCGGGAGCAGAGCTGCAGTGACATGGAGCTGCAGTCTTCTGTGAGGAGGGCCCGAGGGGCTGGAGCCAGGACCCCCCTCAGCCCGTGGAGAATTGTGAGCAGAGGCAGGCAAGGCCTTTCCCCATGGCTCAGGAGTCTGCAGCGCTCCGGAGAGAAGCAAGATCGGGAAGAGTCAGTCCTGCTGCAGGCAGCAAGCCGAGGGATGAGTGCCCAGCAGCACTGCCTGTCCCAGCGGGTCACGGTGTCCTCCGTGGGGTCCTGTGTGCCCTTAGCACCACGTGGTCCCCAGGGTCACAGACGGCCCCAGCCTGTGTTCAGGCTGCTGCAAAGCACATCCCTCTGTGTCCCAGAGCAGATGGGTGCTCCTGCACGGTGGGACTGTCCCTGCCAGCCCCGTCCTGGGCGGGCACAGCTGCAGCCACTCCACTCTGCCTTTGTCACTTGCCATGTGTACCCATGAGGACAGAGAGATGTATCTGCTTGACAAAGAAGTCTATGGAAAATGTTGTACTGATATTTTGTCCTGTGAATAAAGCACAGAATCCTGCTGTTACGGGTACTTTAGTGGCACTAGTTTCCTTGTTCAGCTTGTGATCCCTTCATGTAAATAAAGTGGCTTCCACCAGTCCGTATGCATGGGCTGTTCTTAGGGCAGGGCTGGGCAGCCCCCGGGCAGAGCTGGGGGGCCACGGGGAGCCCCCACAGCCGCAGGCAGGAGAGGGAACGGGCAGGGGCTCGGGCAGGACAGGGGGTCAGCCCGACACAACCGAGGGGACCTGAGGCACAGCCCTGCCTGGGGCTCCCCAGGCTCGTCCTCTGGCCCAGGGCTGGGGATGTCTCAGAATGATGCAGTGGCCCTGTAGGGATGCAACACACCATGGAGCAGTTTGCAAGGTCTCACTGCGAGTGATTAGTAACCAGTGAGCTCTAACAGGAAAAAATTGGAATTAATTAGTGGACACCTAAGAGAGTCCCATCTGCATCTCTGCCACTGCCAGCCACAGGGGAAGACACAGCAGTGAGGGGACCCAGAGGCAGTTATGGGCAGGTGGAGGGAGAGACGGGAATTAATGGCCATTGACAGGAAAATGGGATATTTGCTTGTATGATTTTTCCTTTAAAGGAGAAAAACATTCACAGTGAGACTTGCAAATCCCAGCCTCGCAGTAGAAAAGCCATTTCCAATCCACTCCAAGGAGGCAGAAGGTGCCAGGTTAGATTGATCCTCCTGACAATACTGTATTAGTGGGAAATTAGAGCTGGAGCCTGAGGAAACTGCTGCGATATCAAACAATTACTTTACATTTGTCCTTACAAATGGAGGGAGCAGAAATGTGCTTAAACCAAGTATTAGCTTTCCAAAGGGTGAGCAAATGAGGGCTCAGATGGGGCAGCACTAAAAATATTCAGTGAGCATATTTGGAGCTCTTAAAAATGGCTTTAAAAGCCCCAAGCAGGCAATCTGCACGCCGAGGAGGCAGAGCAGGGGTCTGAGGAGGAGGGAAGGGTTTGCTGAGGACGTGGAGTGCTGCTGGTTTGGTGACCTGATGCCGACTAGAGGGGCTGCCAGAGGAAGCCCCCCTGCTCGCCCAGCCTGGGTTCTCCCCACCCAGGGGACAGAGGCTCTGCTCTCAGGGCTCTCACGCTGTTTCCAGCCATGCCTGGAGCAGCTCAGCCCCGGCTGCCCCCTCTGCATGGCCGGCGCCGTTGTGTGCGCCGTGTTTTGATGGGTTCACTCAGGCCTGAACCCCAGAGAGCAGCTGGTTAATATTTATCAGCTCATAAATAGTTAAATGTAATGAATGAGATTGAAGTGGTCCCTGATCCTACTTGTGCTGAAGAGCTCTTGAGATGAGCTGGGCCAAGGGAACCCTTCACTGGCCCGTTCTCATCACTGGCAGTGCCCACGAGGAGCAGAGCCGCTGGCACATCCTCGGGAGCTGCAGCAGCGCTCCTGCCCACCAGCAGCCTCTCCTCCAGAACAGCCCCCTCCACTGGGACTGTCCCAGGACCTCCCAGTCAGGGATCTTATCTTTGCCAGTGTCCCATTTGCTACCCTCCCTGCCTGTGTCCTGATGAGGACACCCTGAGCCCGGTGGGAGCTGCCCTGGGAGCACCACAACTCCAGGGTCCCCCATGTGAGCCCGAGCTGCACCGCTGCAGCAGCTCCTAAATTCACTCCTGGTGTTTCCAGGTGCACAAGGAGCATTGTTATCCCTCTGACTGAGGCAGGATCACAGCACTGTGAGCACCGAGAAAATTTGATTAACTTCGTATTAAGTTAATCTGATTCAATTTCACTGCTGGCTCCATGTTTACTGGCAGAGTCCTGGGAGTGGCTGCGGGGGACTCCCAGCCCTGTCCCCTCACTGCAGTGCTCGGCAGCGTGTCCCTAGCACAGCTCCTTCCACACACACACAAATACATAAATCCGGCCATTCGCAGAGAGCTCCAGCCCCTCGGAGGCGATGGATGCTCAGGGGCAGCTGGGATTCGGATACATTCAAATAGGTCCGTTTCCTCCTGTTATTTCATCGGGCTGCTGCAGGGAGCAGGGACGCGGGGCCGGTGTGCTCGGGGCTCTGTCACCGCTGTCCTGTAGAGCTGGATGTCACCAGTGATGCCAGCACCCCCCTGCCCGGGCAGCACAGACACGGAGGGGCTGTCCTGGTGCCGGCTGTCCCCGGAGCTGCGGGCTCCTGTGCAGAGCAGAGCGGCTCTGGGGGCTGCTCCCACCGCCAGCCCTCCCTTCTCCACGGGAACCGGTCCCGGAAAGTGCTCCCGGCACCCCGGGAGCAGC